GATTCATTATATACTTTACAGTCAAGGGTGGAGAAGATTTATGCAGTCAGTTAAAAAAAGACATGGAGCTGACTGTGTCTCAGATCATGAGCTTCTCATTGCAAAATTCAGACTTAAATTGAAGAAAATAGGGAAAACTATTCAGACCATATAGGTATGACCTAAATAACATCCCTTAAGGATATGAAATAGAAGTGAAGAATAGATTTAAAGACTAGATCTGGTAGAGAGAGTGTCAGATATGGACAGAAGTGTTCAGTATTGTACAAGAAGCAGCAACAAAAAAAGATCCCAAAGAAAAAGAAGAGCAAGAAAGCAAAATGACTCTCTGATGAAGCTTTACAAATAGTCGAGGAAAGAAAGAAAGCAAAAGGTAAAGGAGAATGGGAAAGATATATCTAGTTGAATGCAGAATTCCAGAGAATAGCAAGGAGAAATAAGAGGGTTTCCTTAAATGAGCAATGCAAAGTAATAGAAAACAACAGAATGGGAAAGACAAAAGATCTCTAAGAAAATTAGATATATCAAAGGAACATTTAATGCAAAAATGGGCATAATAAATACAAAAATGGTAGGAACTTAATAGAAACAGAAAAGACCAAGAAGAAGTGGCAAGAATATATAGAAGAACTATACAAGAAAGATCTGACATCACTGATAACCACAATGGTGTGGTTATTGATCCAGGGCCAGACATCTTAGAGAATGAAGGAAGCATTGCTAACAATAAGGCTAGTGGTGGCAGATTTCCAGCTAAGGTATTTAAAATCCTAATAGATGATGCTGTTAAAATGCTGCACTCAATATACCAGCAAATTTGGAAAACTCAAGAGTAGTCACTGGATTGGAGAAGATCAGTTTACATACCAGTCCTAAAGAAGGGCAATGCCAAAGAATGTTCAAATTACTGGACAATTGCACTCATTTCAACATGCCAACAAAGTTATGCTTAAGATTTTGTAAGCTAGCCTTTAGCAATATATGAATCCAGAATTGCCAGAAGAACAGGCTGGTTTTTGAAGAGGCAGAGGAACTAACAATCATATTGCCAACCTTTGTTGGATTATGAAGAAAGTAAGAGAATTTCAGAAAAAATAATCTACTTCTTCTTCATTGATCATACTAAACCCTTTGACTGTATGGATCACAACAAAATGTGGCAAGTCCTCAAAGAGATGGGGAGTACCAGATGATTTTCCTTGTCTCCTGAGAAACCTGTATGCGGGTCAAGAACTAAACATGGAACAATTGATTTGTTTAAGATTGGAAAAGTAAAACAAAACTGTACGTTGTCACTTTTTTTATTTAACTTATATGCAGAGTACATCATGCACAATGCCAGGCTGGACTAATCCAAAGGTGGAACTAAAGTTGTCAGGAACAATATTAACAATCTCAGATATGCAGACAATATCACTCATATTAGAAAGTGAAGAAGAAGCCTCTTGATGAGAGTGAAAGAGGAGAGTGCAAAAGCTGCCGTGAAGCTTAAAATCAAATAAAACTAAGATCTTGGCAACTTGTCCAATCACTTTCTGGCAAATAGAAGGAGAAGAAATGGAAGTAATGTCAGATTTTATATTCTTCAGCTCAAAGATCTCTGTGGATGGTGACTACAGACATGAAATTAAAAGACACTTCCTCCTTTAAAAGAAAGCTGTGACAAATCTGAACAGGATACTAAAAAGCAGACATCACCTTTCCAACAAAGATCCATATAGTCAAAGCTATGGTTTTTCTAGTAGCAACGCATGGCTGGGAGAGTTGTACTACAAGGAAAGCTGAGTGCCGCAGAACTGACGCTTTTGAATTGTGGTGCTGGAGAAGACTTTTGAGAGTCCCTTGGACAGCAAGGAGATCAAATCAGTCAATACTTAAAGAAATTAATTCAGACTATTCACTTGAAGGACAAATACTGAAGCTTAAATACTTTGGCCACATAGTAAGACAGGACTCATTGGAAAAGACCCTTATGCTGGAAAAGATTAAAGGCAAAAGAAGGGGATGGCAGATGATGAGATGGAAAGATAGTGTCATGGAAGCAATGAACATGAGCTTGGACAGACTTCTTGAGATAGTGGAGGGCAGAAGGGACTGGTATGCTATGGTCCATGGGGTCACGAAGAGTCAGACATGACTAAAGAACTGAACAACAACAAAAATGATTCTATGAGGCAGAGATGAGGAGTCATGGAATTCTGAGCATGGGGGACAGCCATTGCAAAGGCCTGGAGCAGGGAAGTAGATCACATGTAAGACTGGACCACAGAGTGCATGAAGAGGGTTAATATGTAATAAGCCTACGGAAAGTAGATTACAGCAAGATTGTGAAAATCCTCAGTCCCAAGCAGGAGCTCTGGTCCAAAAGCCAAGGACAAAGCACTTTCTGCCATTGAGTATTAGCTTCCTCGTCTTTAAAATGTGTGAGTTGGACTAGATTGTGGTTTTTTTTTGCCTTTTTTTGGTGAGGCAATTGGGGTTAAGTGACTTGCCCAGGGTCACACAGCTAGTTAAATGTCAAGTGTCTGAGGCTGGATTTGAACTCAGGTCCTCCCGACTCCAAGGCTAGAGCTCTATCCATTGTGCCACCTAAGTGTTCCTAGATTGTGTTTTCAAGTGCCTTTTTGCTGACATTCTAGGAGGTCTTTGGCAGAAGAAATGATCCCTCACTAGCCCAATATTTTGTTTCTGACTGTGGTAAGGAGGGGATGCTTTTGAGGTAGAATGTGGTCACTGTCCTTCAAGAGAATGGAGGTGGGAAGATGACAAATTCTATCAGAATGATTTAGAATAGAAGTTCTCATATGTCATGGGCCCCTTTGGAAGTCTAGTGAAGCACATGGGTTCCTTTTCAGAATGGTGGGGTTTTTCTTTTTCCTTCCTTTCCTTTCCTTTCCTCTCCTCTCCTTTCCTTTCTTTCCTTTCCTTTTTTGAAACTGAGTCTTTGGGGGGTGGAGCCAAGATGGCGGAGGGAAAGCAGTGACTGTCTTGAGCTCTCTCCCAAAGCCCTCCAAATACCTAAAAAAATGGCTCTAAACAAATTCTAAAGCAGCAGAACCCACAAAAAGACAGAGTGAAACAAATTTCCAGCCAAAGACAGCCTGGATGTCTGACCGGAAAGGTATATCACTCTGGGCTGGGAGAGGAGCGCAGTGCAGCATGGGCGCACAGGCCACAGCGACCCTGGAGCAGGCCTCAGAGGACTGAATCATGGGCAGCTGTGGCGGTTTCCAGACTCCTCAACCCCTGATTGCCAAAGACAACTTAGAAAGTCAGTGGGAAAAAGTCTGTGACTGGGGTGAGAGAGGAGCTAGGTCTCAGCCGCAAGTCTGGAGCGTGCCCTCAGGGCAGCGACTGTTTCCTGAGCTTCTGGCCCACAGACTGAGGGGGGAATCGAGTTGCTGATCAGAGGGGGATTGCAGGAATCTCTCTGCCAGTGCTGAGGCAGGAATCTCTTGCTTTACTTTTGCTTGGATCTGAGTCACATTTCTGAGGGGTGGTCCTGGGGAGAGGAAGAATGCTGGTGCAGTGGAGCTTGTTGTGGTGGTGGAGAGAAAACACCTTGCCCCATATCATAGCCCTTGGAAGAACTGAAAATTTACAGGTCCTTAGAAATACCTCTGAAAACAGCTGTACAAACCCCTGAAGCTTGGGACAGTACACTCTTCACATTGGGAGCAGACTTTTACCTTAACAAAGAGTTTAAAACTCAAGTAATTGGCCAGGATCATGAGTAAGCAGCGCAAAAAGAATCAGACTATATTATCTTACTTTGGTGACAAAGAAGATCAAAACATACAACCAGAAGAAGACAACAAAGCCCAAGCTCCTACATCCAAAGCCTCCAAGAAAAATATGAATCAGTCCCAGGCCCTGGAAGAGCTCAAAAGGGATTTTGAGAAGCAAGTAAGAGAAGTAGAGGAAAAACTGAGAGTGATGCAAGAAAATCATGAAAAACAAGTCAACAGCTTGCTAAAGGAGACCCAAAAAAATACTGAAGAAAAAATACTGAAGAAAGTAACACCTTGAAACTGAGTCTTCCCATCTTGCCCAGGCTGAATGCACAGTGGCTACTTATAGTCCCGATCCTCACGGTGATAAATATGAAAGTTTTATCCTGCTCCATTTTTCTGACCTGGGCTAGTTTTCCTCTTCTTAGCCTGGTGGCTCTCTGCTTCTGGGGACTTACCATATTAGTGCCAGACTTAGAGCAGACTCAATCAGCTTTATCCCCATTGCAGCCCAGAATTCTCAAGGTTGATGTTCATGTATCTCAGACTTCCTCAGTAGCAGGGACTACAGTTGGGTACCATAACACTCAGTTCAGAATAAGGTTATTACACATATATAATAAAATCTATAGGGTTACAAAAGAAAGAGATTATATTGAAATAGTTATGAAAATATATGAAAAATGTATGGACCCCAGGTTAAGAACCCCTGATTTAGAAACTGTTTAGTTATCTTGAGAATACTCAAGCTTTCACAACATAGCGAGAGTAGAGAGGACAGGAGACAGAAATAATATCTGAAAATGGCAGGAAAACAGAAGTGTTTGATCTTCCTTGAGTAGATGATTTGGATAAATCTTCTCCTTCTCATGCTATAGCTATTCAAAGCTATTCTATTTGTAATAGCAAAGAATTGGAAATAACCTACATGCCCAGTAATTGAAAAAAAATGACTGAATAACTATAGTATATTAATGGAATGTAATATTACGAATCTGTGAAAAATGTGAAGCACATAGAGAAACATAGGAAGATGCATACATGGTATAACTGGGAGAGTAGGCAGTAGAGAGAGTGAGTAGTTGGTTTAGCCACAGTCCTCCAGTTACCTAGAAGCAATGCCAGTGTATAAACCAGGCCCCAGAGTAGGTCACTTGGCAGCCCTCCTAACCATGTGGGTTCTTTGATAGGCTCTAACCCAGGAAAAGCTTGGCCTTGAGTACTTGGCAGAGCCACTGCTTACAGGGAAGATGGAAAGGTGAGGTAAGAGGGAGGCACCTATAAAGGCCCTTGGCCTTCTGTGCAGAGGATCTGTGGGCCATTGCTTCCTCCAGGAGAACACGGTATGATGACCCGGCTACTGCTCTTCCTGGCAGGGTGCCTCTTTAGCCTGGGAATTGGGCTGTGGGTGATCTTTCAGCATTTCTTTAGGACAGATGTCCCTGCTGCCATTGGCTACACAGGGAGGTTCCGTGTCCTGCACTGTGTCTTTCTACTAGTGACCACTTTGGTGAGTTGACCGCTTTGACTACCACATCCTGCTAAGAGGTTGGAGAAAGTGGGCTGGATGGGAGGGGGCGCTGGGGAAAGCTCATGCCATTTATTACTTGGGTGATCTTAGGAGATATATATGTATGTATGTGTGTATATATATATATATATATATATATATGCACATATGTACACCCATTATATATACATATATGTGTATTTATGTATGCGTGTATACACACACACACACACACACACATACACACACTCCAAGTCAGTGGAGAGGTTCCTGTAGGAGACTGATTACTGTTCCTGGTCTATACTACCATGTCCTATCCATTTTCTTTTAGTCTTTGAGGCTCTGAATTGGGGCTTTAGGTATTTAGACCACAAACTTCTCAAGGACAAGATCTAGGTCATTTTACTTGGTTGTTCCTGGCCTGTCAGGGCCCTGACCAAGTAAAATGACCTAGATCTTGTCCTTGAGAAGCTCATGGTCTAAACTGGAGGTTCCTAATCTTTTTTTGAGTATGAACCACTGAGGATCATGGATCTGAACCTGGAAAGGATCTTTGAGGTCATTTGGTGCATTTGGAGGGAATTTACCCCTTTCTCTTACAGATGGCTAGGGAGGTAATGTGATTTGCCCAAGGTCACCCAGGCAATGAGTGGTTGAGCCATGATTCAAACTCAGGTCCCTTGAGTCTACATTCAGCATGCTTCCCACTGTACCACCCCCAGCTTCCTCCTTTTTAACATAAAAAAGTTACTGAGGATCTCCTAATGACAGTATCAACTGATTGAGAAAATCCATGAGGATAGAAAGCTATTCTAAATTTGGTTCTGCTTTTAAATGAATATGTGTTTTATTAACCATCACAACATCTACATACTTCTGATAATCTCATGTTTATGTCATTGGGACACGTTATACGTTTGGTCTACAGTAGGAATGTTTGCCTATTTATTATACTGACATTTTGTTGGAGTGAAATAAACATCAAGATGACAATGCTTGGTGTGTACATGTGATCAAATGAGATCATGTTTGTAAAACACTCTACAGATCTGAAAATGACTATGGACATGGCAGATTTTTTTTTTCTTGAGAATGGTGAAATGGAGAGAGGGTCAACTAAGTAGCACAGTGGCAACAGTGATGGAGTTGGAGACAGTAAGACCTGAGTTTGAATCCCACCCCAGATACCTGTGAGCTGTGCGGGCAAATCAATTTTCTGGGCCTTGGCTTGTTTGTTTATAAAAGGAAAGGGGTTTGACTTGGCCTATCACCACCTGGGTGTAATTCTTGACTCCCTACTCTGTCTCACCCAAATCCAGTTTGTTGCCAAATCCTGCTGTAACACCTTCCCTTTTCTCTACTCTGAACACTGACACCACCTGATCTTGGCCTTGACCAGCTCACACTTGGATGACTGCAATATCTCGTGGGTGGGCCTGCCTGCCTCGAGTCTCTCATTACTCCCATTCATCTTCCATTTGTTTGTTTTCCATTGAGTTTCCTAAAGTGTGGGTCTGATTGTGTCACTTTGTTATTCAGCAAACTCTCCGGCCTCCTATCACTTCCAGAAAAAAAAAATGCAAAATCCTGTTTGGCACTTGAAGCCCTTCACAACTTGTCTTCTTCCTAATTTTCTAGTCTTCTTAAACGTTCCCCACCCCTACTGGATTCTGTGATCTGGTGATACTGGGCTCCTTGTTGCTCACTGCACTAGACACCCCATCTCCAGACTCCTGGCATTTTCAGTGACTGTCCTCCACACCTGGAACGCTCTCCCTCCTCGTCGCTGTCTCCTGGCTTTCCTGGCTTCCTTCAAATCCCAACTAAAATCCAGTCTATCAGTCAGACAATCAATTAGCATTTATTTCATTGTTCTTTAAAAAGGTTTATTGATGGTTTTTGTTTCTACATTACAAAAATTTACGGATTTGAGAAAGTAAAACAGTTAAGTCAACCATTTAGCATTTATTAAGCACTTGTTCTTGAAGCATTCACTGTGCTAAGCTCTGGGAATACGAATATAAGCAGAAACGGCAGAAAGGGAGGGAAGGAATAAGCATCTCTTATTACGTGCTTACTATGTGTCAGGCACTGTGTTAACCACCGTAGATACAAATAGAAGCAAAAAGAAATACAGTCCCTGACCTCAAGGAGCTTAAATTCTAAAAGGAAGTCCACACATAAAAGGAATCTGAGAAGCTGGGGTTGGGGGGTGAGGGTGTTATCTAGATGCGGAGCAGAGTCTGGAGCAGAATGAGGCAGGACTGACCTGGGCACCCTCCGTAAGGGAAGTTCTGGGAGAAGCCATATAATCAGAGGGAGAGGCAGCAGGGGAGACTGAAGACGCAGAGGGTACTTCCAAAGGGGGAATTCCAGGGCTGAAATGAAGAACTGAGCTACAGTAGAGGAAATCTGGGGCCTACCTTCTAGAAGCATTTCCTGATCCCCTTCCTCCTAGTGGCTTTCCTCTGTTGACTATCTCTAATTGATAATATCTATCTACATATCTATCGCGATCTCTAAATCTTGTTTGTACATAGTTGTTTGCATTTTGTCCCACCCATTAGACTATGATCTTTAGCCTTTCTTTGAAGCACCAGCACTTAGCACACTTACTTACTGATTCCAAGGTCCTTTCCAGATCTAAATCTGTGTTCCTATGGGCCCTGGACTTGAAATCCAGTAGATCTGTATGACTTGCTAGCTATGTGACCTTTGTAAACTTTTAGGAGCTTCAGTTTTCTTGCATGCACAATGGATATAAAAAATACCTTTCATATCTACCTCAAAGAGTTGTGGTGAGGATTAAATGACATAATTTCCATTTAAAAAAAACCCAGCATTTTCAAGTGTTAGAATACTGTAGAAATGGAGTGAACTGCAGTAACTCTGTGGCCTCCTTTCCCTCCCCTGCCCTTCTCTGCCAGGAACTGCTGGTCTGAATGATAACGGAGGAAGAACAGAAGTCTATCCTCTCTACCTCTTTGCAAATCTACCTGGAAACGAAGCTCCTCCAGGAAACTTCCTCTGCATGATTCTCTGTGCTCTGATTTGACTGACTGATTGATTGATAAAGTGCTCTGACTTCATGTGCTTCATTTTTATGGTGGTTCTCTTAGCTCTGAGGTATACCAGTTAGTTGGGGAGTCTCGGGCACGACTCAGTGTGCTGATTTGTAGGACCTCTGAGATCCCTTCTGCCTCTGTGAGGTTATGGTTTGATTCTTGTGTTTCTGTCTGTTCTATGTTTCTAACTAGACTATGAACTTTTTCCACGTAGCCAGGTAGTGGCCAGAACCATGGCCTTTGTTTCTTTTGAAACTCTACACCGGACCTAGCCAAAAATGGTAACACATTTGTCCTGCCCATTGAAACAAGCAAGATATAAGTTGCTCCCATTTACCAAAAAATGGCCTTGTTTATTTATCCTTGCCCAATGTCTCCTAGACAAACCTATGGAAAGCCAGTAGATTAAACCCTTAAAGGCCTAAATCTGCATTTTTGTAACTTCTACCAGGACGTTTTGGAGGTCAAGCAGAACAAGTGTAATTCTTTTTTCTTACTTGTTTTTGTGCATCTCAAACTGGATACGCCAGAGCAAGATGTCACAGTGGATAAAGTGCTGGACCTGGAGTCAAGAAGCCCTGAGGCTGTGTGATCTTGGGCAAGTCACTTAACTTCTTTATGCCTCAGTTTCCTCATTTGCAAAATGAGGATATTGATAGCACCTAACTCCCAGGGTTGTTGTGAGGACCAAACGAAAAATATTTATAAAGTGCTTTGCAAAACTTAAAGTGCTCTATAAATACTAGAGGAGATGATGATGATGATGAACAGAGGTATCTCAAATTCAATGTGTCCAAAACACAACTCATTATCTTTCTCAGCAAAACCACTCACCCCTCATCTGAAGTCCAGGACACTGCCATTATCTTAGAATAACTAGACTAGTTATTCAGGTTCAAAACCTCAATGTCCTCAAATCCTTGCTCTCACGCACTCCATCTATCCAAACAGTTGCTAAATCATTTTCTTTCCATTTTCACAACATCTCTCATGTTCATCCTTTTCCCTTCCTTTACACAGCCACCCTCCTAGTTAAGGCCTTCATTACTTATCCCCCTTCCCATTCATCCTCCACTCAGATGCTATTGGAATCTTCGTAACATACAGATTTGACTATGTTCCCTAGCCCCCTTCTCAAGAAACTCTGGTGGTTCCCAATTACTTTTAGGATGAAATGTGAAGTCCTTGGGCATTCAAAATTCTTCTTGCCTTTTCTGTCTTATACTTTACTTCCCTTGATGCTCACTACAGTCCAAGTACACTGGTCTTCTCTGCAGTGTTGGTGTGTCCCCCCCACAACCCCCAGGGCATGGAATGTTCTCTCTTCTTGCCTCTGTCTCTCAGCTCAGATCCCTCCTTAGTATAGTGCTTAACCCACAGTAAGCACTTAATAAATGCTTGTTGACTAACTGCTTTCCCCCATGACAGCCTTTCAATGACTTGAAGACGGCAGTAAAGTCATCCTGGAGTCTTCTCCAGGCTAAATATCAATAGACTTTCCTACTGCACAGGACACAGACCCTTTCCACTTGATCACTCTCCTCTGGATAATCTTTAGCTTGTCAAGATCTTTACTAAAATGTGATAGCAATAAGAATAACAATAATATTTTTAATAATTGCTAGCTTTCATATAGCACTTTAAGGATCGCAGAACACTATGTATATCACAAAAACCTTGTGAGGTAGGTACAACTGTTATCATTTCTATTTTTACAGATGGGGAGGGAATAAGCATTGAATAAGCACCTACTATGGGGATCTATGATCTTAAAATCATATGATCAGATAACCACTACCTTCCTCATTTGGACACTATGCTTCTCTTGATGTGGCCTTTTTACCAAAAGCAGGTGAGCATTTTTGGCTGCTGTGACCCATAGTAGATTCCCACTAAGCTTGTTGCATGCCCAAACCGTGATTTTTTTCTCACACA